ATAAGGATGCTTAAAAATTCTGCTTACATAAAGAAGTTGGGAATAATGCAATCTAATGGGTGTATAAAGAGCCAGAAAGATTATTTTTGATATAAATATTTACGTATGTGGATCTGTGAATAAATGTTAAAACATCAGAATATGAGTTCTGAATCACAATCAAGTTGCAAACCAAGCTAAGGTAAACTTTCTTCATGAATCCTCTCCTTAGTTCTGGCTTATTTGAATACTTCACGAAAAGGCAAGAGTTGGTAAGAAACGAAAGAGAAGTATGAGGAGGAAGACTAAGGTTAGATATATGTGACAGAAACAAAAGAGAGGTAGGGTTTATGCAGAGCAGGAAAAAGAAAGTAAAAGAGAAAAGAGAGGAGAAGGGAGAGAATAGAAAAGAGAGAAAACAGGAGAAGTTTGAGAGGAAAAATTCAGTCTAATATTCCCAGGTTGTATGCATACCAAGCCTGAGTTCCCAATTTGTACGTGTAAAAAATTTGAACCCATGGGAACTTCTAGTAATCCTAATCACATCAATATTTCATTAAAAATAGATTATCTATTTACATCTTAACAAATAAAATCTAAACTACTTTTTTTACTTGTCCCAAAATACATTTTTGTTTTCCATCACAGGAAGAAAGATACTTCTAGAGAGAACTTGGAAACAATTCATATTGCCTGTAATAGACAAAAGTTCGTTGCTGTGGGACAATTTTGGTTCTATGGTAAGTATAACTTAGCTTCCTCCTATTTACATATATTTGTTTTCTTTTTTCTATTTTTAGGTGCTGCCTGCTTCTGCACATGCTGTGAAGTCGTCTGCTTCAAAGTTCCTGCTGGTTTGGCTGTTTCAGTATGAGCATGAATGTCGCCAGTGGTCAGCTGCGATTTCTCTTGGGTTGATCTCAAGTTGCTTGCACGTGACTGATCACAAACTGAAGTTTGAGATTATAAATACACTCATTGAGGTATGAGGTTTGATAGTTTGTGTAACTTTGCAAATAGGAAACTGATATCAATTAGTTTTTCAATTCTTCTTATTTATTTATTTTTTCCCCTGTTGGTTTTCCATTATTCTTAGAACTATTTATTATGCTACTAGGACCTCAGAGTGCAGTTTACACATTTTATGTTTGACAGTTAGCATGCTCTCTTTTTCTGAATCATAAACTTCAGAGCTGTTACCCTCTTATACAAGTATTATTCTCATTTTTTGATGAAGTTGGTGTCCAATTCATGTTTTCTAAGTGATAGGGGTACTCTTTGAGAATGGAGCAATATAAACACTTCTGTATTTGTTAACAGACCGCTTAGTTTTGTTGAGGCAAATATGGTAACTCTTGGTATGTTCTTTTACAGGTTGCATCACTTAGCAAGAGCACCCTTGTAAAAGGAGCTTGTGGACTTGGATTGGGTTTTTCATGTCAAGATCTTCTAACCAGGGTTGATGCTGAAGCGAATTTTCAGGACAAAGAAACACGGAAAATGCAGGAAACTAATTTATTAAAAAAGATTGTTAGGACCGTGCTTCTTATGATATGTCAGTTTGCTGGCTTTTCAGTTGATATTTTGAAGAACCTATCTGCATGCTTTCCCCTTGGAACCAATGACTTCAATTCTCCTAACATTATTGAATATCAGAATGAGAATTTTGATAATCCGGAGGATGATATATGGGGTATTTCTGGACTTGTCATTGGTTTGGGGAATTCTATAGATGCAATTTACAGAGCCGGGACTCATGACGCGGTTGTATATTTAAAAGGCCAATTTATTTCGTGGATTCGACACGTAAACTCTCCTGTCTCTAAGTCTGCTGTCAGTGAAGCACGTGGGTTATTTTTATCGGTAGGATCATGTCTTGCACTACCAACTGTAGTGTCTTTCTGTCAAAGGGTAGAACTTATTGACAATACTGAGTTGGACTGTCTTCTGAGTGGCTTCAGGGAGCTAATCTCTGATCTAACATCTGTTAAACGATTTGATACCTTCCACCAGAGCTTGTTGACAGCATCTTGTGTAGGAGCTGGGGGGCTTCTTTCTAGCATTTTGAATGCAGGGTTACACACTATAAAAATCGAGCATGTTAAAGATTTGCTGACATTGTTTAGAAGAAGTTACTCAAGTTCTCACCCTCCACTTATTCATCTAGGTGGAATGCTTGGAGTTGTGAATGCAATAGGGGCAGGTGCTGGAACACTTGTTCAACAGCATCCTCTAACCTCCTCAAACACTGCAGTCTTTAGAAAGGTCCCAACACACAAGTTACTCTTGGTGTATATCCTTTTATTTCTTAAGAGTGAAACAGCTTGTATTGTTTTTCGTGTTTATTGTGTTATATAACTGAAACAACTGAACTAATTTAACAGTGCGAGAGAAGGTAATTAAATGGGTTTAAAGTGAGTAATATGAGATCATAGAGGAAGATGGTAATTTTAATTTAATTTAATTGTTGACAGTCTTGTGACAAAATTGTTACTAGTGGGGAAAGAAAGAGGCTAATTCCAGGGTTCATAGAAATAGTGCACAAACACAAAGTTGATCTCAATATGCATCCAGTGATTGATTTTCTTCTTTTGTAGACTAGATAAAAGGAAATATTATCTGCAAAACTTACCAATTTAAAAATGGAAAAGGGGCCAAACAAAACTTTTAGGTACAAAATTAGTTAACAATGGCTCATTTTTTGTTTGTCTATCTCATGAATATTTGTATTCCAGCAGGAATCTTCTTATATAACGGGGTCTCTAATTCGAAATCCTGACTTGGAGCCCGAGGTGACGTCATTGATTCAGGAGATATTTCTTGTTGCACAAAATTCTGATGACCCTCAACTACAGCAATATGCAGCATGGGCAGTGTCATTTCTAAGGCATTCCATGTTTTCTAGAGAACTTTCAAATGAGGAAAGTGTTGTTAATAATGACCCTCGTGATCTAAAGGCCCAATCTCAAAGTTTTTCGGAGGACAGCGTGGTCATGAAACTCTCTTCATGGCTAATGCAAATGAGTTCTCAGGTAGATTCTGTCTTTTGATTATAATAGTTGACATTTTGATAAGTACAATGGCTCCTGAGGAATGAGGGCCGATTTATGGAACACCCCCAGGAATCATTTGCATAGCTTTAACTTTAGATCTTGGTTTCATCTTACATTCTTGTACATGGTTACTAGATTTCTTTTTCCCCGTTTTTTCATGTGAGTGCCCCTAGTCTTGGTATGAAATATGCAGTGAAGCTCCAATGCTCTTTTAACTGCAAAACAAAAATTTATTCTGACCAGCCTTTCTCTTGGACTCTTAAAATTCCAGGTTGCTTCCAGTACAAGCACAGTTGCAAGTGTTTTGAGTTGCTTGTCACGTGCTCCTAGGTTACCATTATTGGACTGGAGAGCAATAATTGGGCGGTGCATGAAATATAAGGGTCTAGTTTCTCAGTCGCTTGCACCAGATTCAGCCCTTCGGAAAGGAATTCTCAGGGAGGAGTGTTTACTGTTCTTGATAGCCCATGCAAACCAATCTGATGCACTTCTCAGTTTCCTCGATGAGCTATCTGATCTAGCCAGGTTCAAAACACTCGAGCCAAACCTGCAGTCAACTATGCTCTTGCATGTGGCAGACCTGATAAAGATATTCTCCAGTTCTAGACTTGGGAAGCTCTTTGACGACTTGGCCGCCTTTTTACCTTGGTTTGCTTCTTCTGACCAGTACAACCAAGAACAGAAAATCTCTTTACGGGTTTCATGTTGGAAGGGTTTACACCTTTGTTTGAATGAATCCTTTCTCGAGACGCAAGATTACACACCTAACTTGGAAAATTGCATGGAGGTTCTCTTTACTCTGTTGCCTTGGTCATACTCTGCTGATACTGCAGGATCATGCAAGTGGAATTCTGATACAGAATGGATTGAAGCAATTAGATGCCTCAGGAAGGCTCGACAAGGCTGGTTATTGAATCTTCTTTTGGTATTATTCATTTCTTCTATGTTTTCCTGGTTCCACTCATCCGTAGTTGTTTCTGCCTCTGGAAATTATGCTGAAACTGCTTAGAAAGCTTGGAGTCTTATAATGATGTGATTGTTTTTATATCCAGAAGATTATGTACACAAGATAGATTAGTTTGACTTAATAATGCACATTAAGTCATTTTGGTTCTTGATCTCATGTCATTGTGCGATCATTGATGTTTGTATATTTGTAACTATTCTATTACTTAAAAGCCATCTTGTATTCCATATAGATTTCAGATGCAAATTTCATAGAGAACGGCCATGCCATCAAAATTTTGAAGAAGATTCAAGCGAAAGCCAGACTAGTTCGAATTGGTGTCATTTCATTGAATGAGCTCGGGAAATTAAAAGCTCATATGTTGAGCATTAGAACAGAAGGTTAGTCTGCAAAGTTATTCGGTAAACAATTTTGCCACTCACAGATATGATTAGTTGTCAAAAACGATAATAATAATAGTAATAATAAAAATCTTGCAGCTATCTGGGATGTTCTTGTAGAAGTTGCAATTACAGTGCAACATGCCGAAGGAAGTGCCAGGATTCAATGGCTTATTGAAACAGTGAAAATAAGCTGTGTTACAAGTTATCCTGCAACGGTATGAACCAAATACTTTTTGTCATATAAGTATATATCCAGATAAATGTATTGCAACCGAAATTGACTTTTATGAAGATCTAGACGAATGCATAGTAAGGATCCTTTATTTTTAAGATAATTCAATATATTGGAGTCAGTGGCTTCAGAGGAATATGTATTATTGAATTTAAGAGTACTCTCACTTTCTGTTTCATCAGCATCCTCTTCTATGCTGAAAAGGGCCATATAATCTCTATTCCACTTTATCTTCTATAATTTTGATTGTCCGAAAGGACTCACCAATCAATTTGTAGAGAAATATTAGTCTTTTTGTTGCTACCATTGTTTCAAGCGCTTTTGTCCTACTCTGGTTTGTCATAATCATCGTCACTTTGTTATGAACCAAACGGAGTGGCAAAAAGGCCACTACAAGTAAATTAATATATCTGTGAATGATGTACCTTTGAAAAAGGATGCAGTTTGCTCTGTTATTAAGACTAGTGAAAGCTCCCAAAATTTAGTCATGTTTTGTTTTTTTCAGCTTCACTAAGTTGCAATTTGTCCTTGCTTTACATTGGGCAGCCAATATATTCACAAGTCCTAGGGTTATTATTATGATCTTCATCTTGCTAACAGCCTAACATATTTTTCCGCTTCTGTAATCCTCAGGCTCTGCGGTTTCTTGGTCTATTATGTGGTGGCTGTTGTAAATATAAGACTGTCCTGATTATTGACCAAGTCAGTGTCTTGAGTGATCTGCCCATCACCCTTTCGTCTCTCCTTTCAGAAACCAGCTGGGGGGCAGTAGCAGAATCTGTGGCATCGGATTTCTGGACATCAACAGAACGAATTTATGATTGGGTGAAACATACAAAGGTTGGTGATTATTCGCCTAGTTCCCAACATATTGATAGAAGTGAGAATGATATGGCACCTTTCCTACTGCAAGTGATGCGGGAAGCATGTATTTATTTGAAACCTTACTTACCTCCGGAGAAGTTGCTTAGACTAGCTAACATGGTTGTCCCATGAAATAGGTATTAAAACATCAAGTGAATGTTTGGTATGCACTACTAGATAGAGTTAAGCAATACATAAGACAAGATTTTAACTTATGTTTTGTCTTCAATATTGTATGATAATGTCTAACCCAGCTTACCAGATCACAGGGAACGATATTGAGACATCAAAAGGTATTCGTCTGATCTTGAGCCAAAAAGTTTAAGAAAATTCTTGAAGTTGAGAAAATAGTGAATTCAAGTTCATTCTCGAATATGGTTGATAGTTATCGAAGTAAGTTTGACTCGATGTCTTTGTTTGGGACCGGTGCATTTTTTACATTCCTGGGTATTTGATAAAACCTCGGGGCACAGAGAGGTCGACGTGCACAGGCAGGACGACACTCTGACGGATTTGATATAAAAAGATAAAGATTAACGGAAAAACTACCAATATTTTTGGCTAACAACGATAGGATGCAAGAATTATAGGAGTGTATGTGGAGGGATTCGTAGGCTTGGCCCCTTGAACACATGAGCCTCGTGGCTTGTTACTTGAAGGCGAGTTTCGGCTTGCGAGCTCGTCAATTTTCAATATATATATATATATATATATATATATATGTATGTATATATATATTTTTTTAAATTTAAATAGATAAAAATAAAATACAATTATACAAATCACCTTCCTTTCTCTTGGTTTGAGATTGGTTACTTAAATTTTGAGTAGGTGGAGTTAAAAATTATACACGAACGATTTGTAGGTTATAATGTGTACAATTTTTTAAAGAAAATTAAAAACAGTATTATAAAATAACAAATTCTGATTAATATGATTAAAATTACATTAAATATCACCTGTAACTTATCTAACGACATTTAATTTCGACAAATTAAAATTTATCTTGCAATTGAAAATGAACATTCTGCTAATCCTTTACACACATTAATAATACTTGTAATGTACTTGTCAATTTATATGAGTTGTGACATACGATAAATTTGAAGCTGAAAAATGTATTATATATCTATCTAAATAGATCCAATTTCTATCAGATCCAATTTCAGTTTCTAATTTATCGTATGCCACATAGATTCAGATCATCATATGCCACATAGATCTAGATCTGAATCTATGTGGCAAAAAATAAATTGGAACAATAAGAAAATTGTAATTGTGTGAATCAGAAGAAAGTGAAGAAGAAGAACCAATAATTTGAAGATGAAAATGGGTGAGCCTTGTGGGGGTATTTATAGGCAAACGTTTTGAAGGGGGAAAAAAATTGTGGCCCCGAAATTTGGTCACTGTAACACGAGCCACGAGCCAGGCATCCAAGCCCGTTTGCTCGCCAAATGAGGTGTTGCACTCGGCTTGTCCTCCGGCTCGTGATTTGACGAGCCCGAGCCACTCAAGAGCTCGGTTCTGACAAGCTTAGTTGTCGAGCCGATGAATCGCTCGATCCCTTTGACATCCCTAGGAATCCACCATTCAAGAGTCACTTTATTTGCCAAAAATAGATCTTTCGTACATGTTACAAGATAACTTTTTGAAATCATCAATGTAATCCCAAGATAATAGCTTGACATAGTGCTCTGCTCATCTATTGGTTAGACAAATTTCTAATGTTTGCATATAGACTCAATTTTAATAGACAATTCAAGTAATAGGGCAAATAGTTCACGTGTCTCAATGATCAAGTGTCCCAATAAATGTGAAAACTGTTCAATAAATTCAATCTTATGAGATCACCCCAAACGAAGCATTTGGCATCCAGGTGTCACCTTATCTACCTTTCTACACTGCTAGTGCTTTCGTATTAAGTTTGATCAAAGTTTCAATTCTTTATCATCTAGAATTTCACTCGATAATTTCAAGTTTGCATGTAAGAAAATCCATACAAGCACATATAACCACAAGTTTCCATTAGGTGTATTTAACAAAACTCGATTAATACTGGACAAAAGATTCAAGATCGATTAAAGAAATTTACAACTCAACTTTATTACCAAGGCATCAAAGGTCTCGTAGAACACGAGTTCAAAATATTGTACCCTTTCGTATCAACCCACAAGCCTTAAAAACCGAAACCCCCAAACGGACGAATTGAAGTTAATTTTATTGGCTAGAAGAACTTAATCCTCCATCAAATCGTCACTTTTCTTACTATAGAATGACTTAGACCTTTAATCTTACAAAGAAATAATAGCATCATTAAACCAGAGGTTGAATATGAAGAGAAGACGAAGAAGAAAGCCCACATAGAGAGTTCAAGAAGATGGCCAAGCAAAATCAGAATGCAAGAATGAATTAAGATTTCAGCATAAGGGCCTGTATACCCTCGGAGAGTACCATTAATCATAAGTGTAGATCAATGGTCTAGAGTAACTAGCAACTCATCACTTCAAGAGGCAACTAATAACTAAAGTTGCACTTCTCAAACGTGAGTTCATCCGTTTAAATGGGTCTGGGTTTTGGGCCTCATCATTGAATTTATCAGGCTATAGTTTTATAATTGGGCCAAGCCCAATTTCATCATAGCCCAAAAGGGCCGAGTTTGGTATCACAACCCAACAAATCTGCACTTTGATACCAATGGTATTACAAACGTAATTCTAGACTAATCACTTAATCTAAAACAACATCAACTCCTTTTATTACCTATTAGCAACAAAGAATATGTAGGTGTCCTCAATATAGAATTTAATAGGTACTTTAGAAATTTAGGTGTTCTCGATAACTAATTGATTTAAAAGGATTTCATTAATTAGATAGATTTTGACAGATTTTGAAAGATTTAAAACCATATATATAAATACAAAAAATCTGTAACAATTTTATCTCAAACCTAAAAATTTCACAACTTTTCTCACCCTCCCCCCCCCCCCCCCCCCCCCCCCCCCCCCCCAAAAAAATATTTTTTTTTTCTCCTTTTTAATGTTAATTTAAACAATTTTTCTTTTTCTCCCTCTAATTTCCCACAATTCTGATTTTTTCTTATTGAAAAGATACTACTGATTTTTTTTCTTCTCCCTCTTTCGCATTCTGTTGAATATGTGGGTATAACCATTTGTTTAGAAAATTTGTAATGATCTATTACATAATATTTATGAACTAAACGTAAAGCCATGATAATCTTGAAAAGAGCATATAGACTCTCCATTTTTCTTGAATCCTACTGCATCTGGATTTTGAGTAAGCTATGATTCTAGTAGATCAAAAAAGAATTGTAGAAATTTTAGCTAAATTCACTAAAATCTTTTAAAAACTTGAATTAAAGTTAAACGAAAAGCTCTTTTTTTAAAAAATAATAATAATAAGCTAAAATCATATATATATATATATATATATATATATAAGAACTAACTAATAAAATGCGTCTACAGAAGATAAAAGATATGAACGAAAAAATTCAGTTGTTAGGAATTGGAAAAAAAAAAAAAAAAGGTCTAAGCTCGAAGCTTGGGCAATAAAAGAAATGAACGAAAAAATTCAGTTGTTAGGAATTGGGAAAAAAAAAAAAAGGTCTAAGCGCAAAGCAAGGCGTTTTGCCCAAGCTTCGAGCTTAGGAGGTGCCTAGGGGTCGTCTAGACGAGCTTTTTAGTACACTGGTTTCAACCATTTGACATATTCAACTTCTGATTTTGTGCAAAAAATATAGTATATTTCAACAAAATTAATATATATAGGTACACAAAAATGTTAGGCATTGTGTAAATTGGCACTTCATCACTAGAAGAGTTTAAAAAAATTAGTTTGTTCGTCATTGAATATCGGACCGGTTTCTGATTTCTCTCGTTTCGATCTCTCTGATTCAAATAATAAATTTCTTCTAAATAAAAAGTTTGTGAATCTTAATACTAATCTGGTAGTAAAAATTAATCAGCCAAATAGATCATGCACCGGAACATCTTCAACGACGATATCATTGAAACCATGCTTCCTTGGGCACACGTCTCCTCTTAAGCAAATACCCCTCCCCTCAAAATCTCTACATCGTTGCCGAAGAATTCCAATATTCACTGGAGGGCAGGTCTAAATGTTCCTTGTGAATCAATGGAGTTACTCTTGGAACTAATCCAGGAATCATGCAGACCCCAACAACCAGGTTCCCTTCCCCTAGCAGGGCCAGCTTCAGTGGAGAGTGATTGGGTTGGTTCAAATCAAACCAAGCTCTGGAAAAGGAAGCCCAGTTTCGATGTCTCTTCAAATCTTGCGGGATATTTTCTTCTGAAGTAATGCTATAACCATTCCAAGCTTTCACCCTATAAGGGTGTGCCCATTTTTGGAGGGTTATTCCGTTTTTCTATATGGATTGGTTGTCCCAGTTTGATCCGGAGATTCTCACTCAGAAAACTGAGTGCTTAAAGGGTTAATGATGGCAAAATATTCCGTCCTTGTCTGGCTTCAAGTGGGTTTAAAATTTTCTGTCCCGTGTGGCAATTAAGATAGAAATGGAACATTTTTTCATCCCATTCTCTCTCTGCTCCAAGCTTATCTTTCTATTTACTCGTCAATTTCACACTCTCTTTTTTTACATACTGGTTCTCAACTTGATGAGACAAGGACGAGGAAGGCACCATCTGAACAAGTGAAGGAGATGATTGAAAAGCTGCTAAATAAATGTGAACAATGCCATGGTGATCGAATTTTTTTGACATAATGGTTGACAGACACTCATAATTTTTATTTTTTGGGTGAAGGGGTACACTTCTTTTTTTGACTTTTTTATTCACGCAGGACTCACCCGCATGTAAGAAGATATCAATTATTATGTCAAAAAAATTTGGGCAAAATAGTTTAATCCAATAAATGTTATGGATTTTATAGTGTGATAATATTATTACATCCATAACTTCAAGATCTTCTAAAGACAAAGATATACTTGTTTAGTCACGTACCACACCAAAAAGAAATATATGTGAAAAAGACACAGAAGTATGGAAACTCTTGACATAATAATTTTAAATGTCCAAATAAAAAATAAATATAAATTGAACATTTAAAAGGCACCAAAACTCTATTAACTCATTCTAAAAACCTATATTACCAAGAAGTGAATGTTGCAGTTTTCATCTAAATATTTGTGCTAACAATCCAAACTTCCACTGATCGTCCGACCCTCTGTTTAATAACATCATAAAGAGGTAGAGAATTCCGATTCATTTAACCGCACATACAAGTGAAGAAACACAATTTATATTCCTCACATAGCTCAGAATAGAAAAGTATTATTAAAAAATACGAAAATAAAGAGAGAATGATTTGATTCTCTATAATAAACAGAAGTTTTTAACTTCATATCAAGTACAAACTGAAACCTTGAAATTACGAGGTTTGTAACTTAATGCGCACAAATCGAGGAGAGCATATATACAAATAGAAAGGAAAACAGAAAAACGGTGTAGCAAGGAAGAATACCCTCAATCTACAAAAATATGACAGGAACAAAATTACACAATCTAAAATGACATGTAGTTACCACTTTCCAGCCAAGGTTTGAGGACGAGTACTTCAAGCCCCTATGCATAAGCGTGAAGCACAAAACTTGTCACTGACCAAACCATCCATGTGGAGGCTGGCCTGCCCCATCGTTCATCAGTTTGTCTAAGACAACATTCAAATCAACCGACTGTCCATTCTCTGTTAACTTCCGAACTGTTGCCCTCACTTGATCTCGTGAAAATCCCATAGTTGTCACTTTGTCAATCACGTCATCAATAGGAACCCTGTTTCCAGTACCACCTGACCCCGAATCACCACCTAGCCCAGAGGCAATAGGTCGCACATGAGGTAATATCTGGCCACGAGGGAGTTGGGGATAACCACTTCCACTGTTCTGGCCCATAAGAGGAGAAGGAAGTTGCTGCAATTTCATAGGTGAGCTGCTGTAAGAATATAGTTCCCGGGGTCCAGAAGATTGGCCATAAGAAACAGGAAATCCCAGGGTCAGTTTGCTGGATGGAGGCTGATACATGTTTTCAGAAGGCCCACAAAATTGTTGCGAGGGATGAGAGAGTGGTGGACAATTGCTTGGCTGGTATGTTTCGGGTTGTAGATACTGTGTTTCTTCATGATGATGACCTAATGCAGGCTGAGGCTGAGAGGGATAAACAGTTGATAATACAGGGTGGGGTTGAGGTGGAGGTGGCTGAGAGGACTGTGGCTGTAGAGGTGGAGAGGAAAGCATTTGCTGATGCTGTGGAGGTACTTGGTACTGCTGACTCAGGTTTTCAAGAGTTTGGCCAGGAGGTGGGAAGTAAGACTCCCTCTGAGTGACGGAAGGAACTTGGTTTTGGGGAAACTGGGTCGGAAGCTGAACCAGAGGTTGTAAATCCTGCTGGGAAGGCAGTGGAGGAGGAGCGTTTGGTAGAGCACGGATTGAAGTTGGCCGTACAGAAGGAAGAGTAGGAAATTGCTGGTGAGAATTCTGAGATGTTGAAATTCCAGTCCGCGTGGAATCTGCACATGACGTGTTGTGGGTTTCCACTTGTTGCCCGACCTTTGAAACTTGCAGTTTCCCCATCTGCAATTGAGCTTCCACTATTTCTTGTTTATCCCTAATAATGTGTATTTGCACCTGCAAGCAAGTTTTTTGGAACCAGGAAAAATAACAGGATGCTCAAATCAGTATAACCATGTTATAAATGTCAATAATGAAATTATAGCATTGAATTAAACAGAATAAGAAGAGAATCGAGAACTACCCAGAAATCAGGTTCAACCATTCAAATAATGAAGTATAATGCACAATTTTAAGCAAAATTAGTGAAGCAAATTCAATAAAACAACTGGTGCCATAGAGAAGCAGCCATAAACTAGAAAGCCTTAACCATAGTTAGATTTCAGCCCAGCTCTATGTTTACATAGATTCAGACATAAAGGCAGGCCTTCACATTGTTTTAATTCATACATTGTATTCCTAAATTTAACTACCATAAAAGATGTAATATTCATTACAGTATGTGATAGTTATGCAATTCCTCTTTCTTTTCTAGATACATTAGAATGAATTTCATAATCGTGGTGAGAGATATCTAAACTCTTCGTGCATGTTTGGTATGCAATATTAAATCATACTCGACCGTAAAAATAGACAATATTTTTAACTTTTTCTTTCTTATTTAATATTGTCAAGTAGTGTCTAATTAATTGCAGCAAACATGCCGTAAAAGTTTTGGAATGAATTAGATCGTATAAGGAATCAAGTATAGTATTTGAATAGATATACTATATAAATATTATTAGAGAGGATTATGGTGGATAATATTTTTTAATTTTTTATTCAAAAAAATTTTATTTGCACTATCTTCCTTAAGCTAACCAGATAACATAATACCCGCAGTGAGGACGTGGGTTTAGACCAAATAAAAAGAATAGTGCAAATAGCATTCTTCTTAATGAAAAACTTGTAAATAACATTCACCTTAATCTGCTAATACTATCTATCTAACATCATCTCCACTAATTTTATGCATAATTTCTTGTACAGTCCAATCTGGTGTGCCAAATGTAGCCTTAAAGAAAGTGTGAATGGAAACCCTCGTCACAAGGATAAACAGGCACAAACAAGATACCTCTCTGAGAATATTCTCCATCTGTCTCAATTTTCCATCAGTGCTTCTTTGATTGTCCCCAACAGACAACTTCAGATCATCCATCGAACTTTCAAGGTTGCAAGTCTTGGTCTCCAACTGCAACAGTCGCACAGTGACACCATCCAAAGCATGCATCAGATGATCAACATACTTCTTCATTGTTCTATCAATCTCAGACACCAAAGACTCATTTATGACTTCGTGGTCTTTTTCTAAAGTGACTTTGGTTGGTTCAATGACATCGAGAGAATTGTAATTCTGAGAGACATGGAAAGTTCCATAAGAACATTATGACAAGATTGTTCAAAAACACCATTTAGCATGTAATTACAAGTTTCTAATAGTCTCCCAATGCCGGGTTTTCCCCCTTCTCCAGAACAATAGAAAAGGAAGAAATATAATACCAATTTTGTGTCCTATTACTAGATTAGCTTCACTATATGAAAGCTCCAATTAGTCTTTTTTGTACATTCTTAGCTTCTGCAGCATGTTAATTATTCATCCCGTTTCTTCAAACTGTATCTCCCATTTAATTAAATCCACAGAAAGACACTGAAATCTTTAATTAATAAAATACTTAAGAGATTCGTTGTAGCCGTTCAAAATAAAAAAATCCTTGTAATAAATAGAAATAACAATATTCCTTTAGAAAGTGAACTATATTTCTCCACAACACGTGAACAGAACTATACACAATCAATTCAAGGAACATCCTTACAAACTATTAGTTTAAACTATTTCAGGAAGCTTTAACCAGGTAAAATTACTCAACGAACCATAAAAACCCTCAATAGCAATCATCAAAAGAAAATCATATTCTCACGAAACTAATTAAACTGCCCTCCCTCGTCATTCTCTCCACCATTATCACTAGTTTAAGTTTTTTATAATCAGCAGAAATATAATTCATAGTAGCATTTCCAAGTCGATATAATTCATAAAAATGACAGTATCTACATCACCCACCAATCAAACCCTAAGTATTTCAAGACTCATTATACAATACATGCATGTGCACATATGAGGGATGTTAGAGAGAATACTCTGATGGAAGATGAATTAGTTTTGGAATCAGCAGAATTCCACTCCCTGGGCGAACCACCCAAATTGCCGGAATCAATATTCGCCGTGGTCAGAGGCCGCGATGATGAACCTCCGGCGGAACGAACAGGCATAAAATCGTAGCTCGGCACGATGTCGTTTTCCTTCCGACGATCTTCCGACTGGTTCTTCATGAAATTGATTAAATCAATGTTGCTACTACTGCTGTTGTTACCACTACGAGAATTCACAAGATCCATGTAAAGCTTGTCCATTAACTGCGACGTGGTATTACAACTCATCGAGTATTCAATAAACCAATTTAGTACACTGGAATGACCTATGCATACACGTGTACGTAATATATCCCGGGCGACGAGTGGGGTGGGTTTCGCTGATTATTGGAAATGTTAGGAAAAATGACGATTCAGCATCCTTGAAAACGATGTCGTTTAAACGAAATTGGGCATGTCCTGGTATTATTATAGTATGACCTTGTTTCTCCAAGGGTTAAAAAGGTTTTGAATAAGAATAATGCTTGTGGTACATAAAGGTGTTTAAAATGGTGTTTAAAATGGACACTCGGTGTTTCGGTATTGGCTGAGGCGCTTGTGAACCTAGACGTGGCAAGCTGAGGTGCCGGATATCCATTTTGAACACTTCTTTGTACCCACAGCATAATCTTTAAAATAATGCTGGGATTATTGGCCCTACCAACACTCACATCAAATGGATCCCACACGGGACCCACCTATATAAAATACTAAAAAAAACCTCACCCACCTCCCGGTGCTGTGAGTGTTCGGTATAGGTTCACAGAACCCAAATCTTTTTTTTTTTTTTTAATTTTCTAATAAAAAACATCCAAATGTATTTTTTGTAACTTTTCTGTTGATTTTTCCTATACTTATAGCATCTCTCGAGTTAAAATGGTTATTGTAATGTTGTTTTTAATAGTCACTCAATTTCAGAAGTCGTTTGACAACTATTATCTTAAAATTCCTTAATTTTTATACTTATTTTCAATTAGACATTTATATAATTTCATGCTTTTTAACCATACATTTCCTAAAAAATCACTATTCAAAACTCTTTTTTTTTTCTCAAAATAATAACCATCAAACAAGGCTAATAAAGTTTTGAATATGTTTTCCACCTTCACATTATTTCATTCCCTTTGAAATGGATGACATGGTGCACAAAATCTTCAATTTTTTGAACGATTTAAAGTGATTAATAGGAAGCAACATTAGAAGTAAAGTAATTAATACAGTAACAATTGTGAAAGTATAATAACTATTTCAGAAAATTTAAAATTCTGTAAAATATTTAGGGTTGGAACAAATTACTATAATACAACCCCCGCCTATAAATAAGGTGACATTTTTCACAAATTTTGCGAACAAGATACTCTTATTTTCATTTTTGTCATTTGAATGGTGCATGATTCTGCATTAATAAGCAAGAAGAAAGGAAGAAAATATTGTTATCTCACTACTTTTTTTCTTTTCTTTCTTTTCTTTCTTTTTTTTTTTAATGACGGGGAACCTTTTTTTTTTAATGACGGGGGAACCCGCAATCGCTACTCTTCGGGTGCACACTGGGTAAACCATCGGACTGACATAATAGCCTGCAAACCATGTTAATTAGGCAAACCGCACTAAGCAAGCTCTGTACGACGTGCTCGACCGAGAAAGTGTTGGTAGAAAAAATCAAACTCGTGATCAAAGACTTTCGTGCTCACTTACTCTACCAACTCGCTATTTATTTGTATTGATGATTGAAACTGTGTTGCTTTGTCAGGAGTCGAATTTTCTATCATTGTTTACCAGCTCTGTTGGAAGTATATGGCTAAAGTAAAAACTTTAACAGCTAAACTATACAGTAACCTATAATACTAAAAAAATGAAAAGGGCGAACAGTTGCAGATACGATCCCTAATGGAGTACTTGATTTCTAAATTGCACAAGCCCAAAGAATGTATTATAATATTTCACCCTGTTCCATTTTCAAGTTTCCTGGCAATCCATCTACAGTATGGCTCTAGATATAATTTATCCATCACTGACTTGTTCGAGTGGTTGCTAATGGGATCATCGCGTACTCCACATTTATATCTCTTCTTTTCAATTCAAAGAAATGCAGACAAGCTACCAAATAAAGGAACATATGCTAAACCAAAATGTATCACTAAAAGCATGCTTACAAAGAATATTTTCAGTGTTATAAAAAATTTAAGATGCTAAACCGTTAATAAATATCCTGCGAAGCCAGAAATAAATATACCACAAATAGCTCTCGAACTATTGAAGTCTTATAAACTGGCCTTAGAATAACAAGGTATTATAGTTAGGCTCGTTGATAATAAGAGGCGAGGAATAAACATCTAGTAAAATCAAGAATAAATATCTAAGGAGGTGGGAAAAAGTATCCCGCAAATAGCTCTTGAACTATCGGAGTATTATAAATCAACTTCGAAATGATGAAGTCCTATAGCTAGGCTCGACGATAGTGAAAGGCGAGGAATAAACATCTCGTGAAGTCAGGAATAAGAGTCTAACGAGGAGAAAAATAAACATCCTCCGAAGAGCTCTTGGACTATTTCTATAAGCCAGTTCAAAATGACGAGGCCTTATAACTATGCTCAACGATAGTGAGAGACAAGGAATCAACATCTCGTGAAACCAAAAATAAGCATCTGGCGTGGTGGAATAAACATCCCGCGAAGAGTTTTCGAATTATTAGAGTCTTATAAGCTTGCCTAGAATAGATGAAGTCTTATAGCTAGATTCGACGATAGTGAGAAACGAGGAATAAATATCTCGTGAAACTAGGAATAAGCATCTAACGAGGCGAGAAATAAACATCCTGTAAACAGCTCTCGAACTATCTAGGTCTTATGAGCTAGCCTCGGATAGATAATGTCTTATAACTAGGATCGACAATAGTAAGAGACAAGAAATAAGCATCTAGCAAAAACTAGGAATAAACATTTGGCCATGCGAAAAATAAACGTCCTGTGAACAGCTCTCAAACTATCGGAATCTTATAAACTAGCCTCGAGTAGACGATGTCTTATAGTCAAGTTCAACGATAGTGAGATGCAAGGAATAAACATCTTAGGAAGCCCGGAGAAAGCATTTGGTGTGCCAACGAATAAATATTCTACAAATGAGGCCAAAAAAGACTCCTTCTAGGTTAAATACTTCGAGATATCGCTTCTCCCTTTATTCAAGGAACGAGAACTAAATATCACCTCTTCCTTTATTCAAGGAAGCCTCTTTCTTTATTCAATGAACAATGACTCTAAAATGCCGTCTCTTCCTTTATTCAATGATTGAAGACTCATAGATATCGCATTTTCCTTTATTCAAGAAACGAGGACTTATAAAATGTTGCATTTGATAATAACAAATCCACAACCAACGGCTCGCTTTCAATAATAAGAAAACTACAAGCTACAGCTCGCCTTCAAAGACACTAGAAATCCGAGGCATCTAAAAACAGGTAGAAACAACCAATATATGACAAATTGTAAGATCAAAATGGAGATTAGATTAGTATTTATGTCCCCAGATATGCCAACGAAATTCGAGAAACCACTCTCCGTCAACATTGTAGATTGCAACCCATTTATAAATTAAATAGGTACTAATTGAGTCCAGTCTTAATTATTCTTTATAAATAGCTTAGCCTAATCCTTCATGACGAGAGAGAGAGAGAGCCCAAATAAGTACCCAAGTGTCCCAAATACTTTAGAAAATTAAATGGGCAACTTACAAAAATATCCCAAAAATTAGGGATCTTTTGAAAAATCATATGAAAAGTATTTTAGAAGTAAAAAATACAGTGTAAAATTAAATGCCACGTTTTTTTATTAAAAAGTTACACAATATCACTTTTTTAAGTTATGTGTCATTTTTTACACACAATGTCCTTTTTATTAAAAAGTGATGACCGTCACTCAAAAAGTGACAAAAATTTCAAGAAAGTGATAGAAGAAAAAGTGTCACTTAAAAAAGTGAGACAATATCACTTTTTTAAGTTATGTGTCACTTTTTACACACAATATCATTTTTATTAAAAAGTAATGATCGTCACTCAAAAACTGACAAAAATTTCAAGAAAGCGATGGAAGAAAAATAGAAATGAAACAAAAAATACTGTTTAAAATTAAGTAACACAATGTCACTTTTTTAGTTATAAGAGTCACTTTTTTTTATTAAAAATGTTACTTCTATTTTTATTTTATTTTTTTAAAAAGAAAAAATGACAAACTAAAAAAGTGACAGAAGTTTAAAAAAATGAAATACTATAAGGTGACTTACATTACTTAAACAAGTAACATAAATTTATAGAAAGTAACGAAAATAAAATTACAAAAGTGACAAAAATTTAAAAAAAAAAAAAAAAAGAAAAAAAAAAGGAAAAAAAACAAAAAAAAAGGAAAAAAAAAAAAAAAAAAGAAAAAAAATTAAAAAAAAAAAAAAAAAGGAAAAAAAAAGTGACATATACTAAAAAAAAGTGAAAAAAAAAAAAAAATACAATCAAAAAGTGAGAAACACCAATTAAAACAAATATTCGTTCAAATACGGAAAGCCAAAAGAACACGAAAATAATATCAGATCCTCACAAAATAAGATCTTGACTAAATATAACAAAAGAACTCGTAAGAAATCAATTTGGGGATTTTTATATAATTGTGAATTAGACAGGCTGGAATGCAATGTCTCCTCATGCAATGTCTCCTCATTGTCTACTATCCATCTTATTGCATCTAAAAGTTTATTGCCAGAGGGTGCAGCTACATCGTTCAAATAAAGAAAGATCAAATTGTAGCTTGATTGTAAATCCTTCCAATGACAAACTTGTGTCTAAATAAAGGCAATAAAATTGGAATCGCTTTAGCCAATTTACAAAACTAGATTGAACAACCTGTGGTTGCCCCAATTATAGCTGTCGATAACCTTAAACATGCTATGACAACCTCAACGACAATGACCTGAGGCTATAGTACACAACAGTTCTAGCAACAACAACTAATGGAAGCTTTAGTGCGCGAAAGTTGTGTGGTTGGAGGCTATAGCACATGGTAACTGTCTCAATGGCCCAAAAACTAACCCAAAAGAAGTCTTCAAGCACTTTTAATTTTGCGAACTCATTGAGCCAGAATTTGAAAAATAGTATAGAGTTTAAAGTGTAGTATACAATCGATTATTACAACACAATGCGGAAAATATAAATTCTGTAAGTGTAAAACCGAACCAAACGATCCGAAACTTCTTTAACACCTCCAATGGAGTCTCATATGATGTTGAGCTTAGACTTGTGCCGCACTAGATCATACATCGTCTTCCACAGGAATGACAATGGATATACTGAGAAAATATCCACCGGAAGCCACCAAGAATTTCGTCGGAGATGTAGAATGCTCCCACTTGGTTATCTCTATATTCTTTCTCTCCAATGTTATGCCAA